GACTCATTTATGAAGCTCTAAGTGAGGCTTCAGGGTATGTAGGATGTACTGGTTTAGGGTTCAAGGTGTGCAGGACTCAAGGTTTTCGAGTTCCCGGTTTTTTTGGATTGGAAGTCTGTAGCTGCGATTAAAGAGCTTCGATGCTGAGGGTTTGAGGGTTGACATGGGACACCTGCAGCTGTTGTGGGCCGGGTGGCTGCAAAGGCATAGAAAGCATCGAAGGCCAATGGTGCGTAGATGGTCGCGGAGGAGGCACCGGCGGCTAACATATCCCTGAGTTTGTTTAGAGTTTGGGATTCAGGGTCGCGTAGTAGAGGGGCCTTTCTAAATAGAAAGGGATGAATAGCGTTTAGCAGCCCTGAGAGCTGAAAGGTTAGTGGCCGGGATAGCTCAGTTCGGTTTAGGGTTTAGGGTTTAGGGTTTAGGGTTTAGGGTTTTGGGTTTAGGGTTGACATTTATTGAGCCCATACAACCCAGAGAATGTCGCGTTATGACTGTAGTGACACCCTACAGGGCACCCTACACCGTATAAGGAGCCTGTAGAACCAAACATGTAAGACGCTGCAGGCACCTTTAGTTGCTGAGCTCACGGATCAAAAGGAGGTTGACCTGGTAATGATGCTTCGGGCTACATATGCTCCGCATCCCCAGAAAGAGCTCCGGGTAGCAAACCGTTAAGAAACAGGAACTCAATACACCCCGAAGATCCCGGAAGCCGATCAATTTAGGTAATGACTCTGATGATTAATATAAGGTTCTGGGGTGCTTTTATTTATACAGTACACATAAGACTAGCAGGGAATTCAAAGGGGATACTCATGTCAGTTCAACTACGCCTCATAGTAATATGACGAGCTATAAGAGGATTTCAATTGAAACCTTTCCGACCCCTGGATGATCACTTCAGCTGCCAGGAGGCTCTTCTGACTTCATACTTCCCCAATAAGCCAGGGAAATAAAAGGTTAAACTTTCAGACTACTACTGAATTATAAGAACCCAAAAAGTTTAAAGGTTGGGTATTGGAGAACTAAGGCTTAGTAAGTTCAGGCTTTAGGGGCTTAGGGTTGACCTAGTCGCCCACATAGCCGACAAAGCTCCCTCCCAAAAACCCATCAGAATCCACCTTACTAGCTAGAATGGCGCAGGCAACAGAGCACCCAAGTACACCATAGGTCCCAAACGCAATCCCTACACCCAAACCCTGCAAACCATAAAGCCAAACCCACGCCCCTGTACCCTGAGCGCTAAGCCCCAGTGAAATCGCAAACCCACTGAAGAACCCTTATGAGACCCAACCTTATTCTCCCGAGGCTCGCAACAGCAGCATCCTCGAGCGGCTCGCGCATGGCATTGAGACCAAACCTCTCTCGGGCCTCATCTCCTTGGAAATTGATGACCAGATTGGGACAACAACGAAAACAGCGTTTAGGGTTTAGGGTTTAGGGTTCAGGGTTTAGGGTTTGGGGTTTCACTGATTTTCCAGGGACCTACCAGGGGCCTAAAAGTACTCCTAAACGTTGTGGCATTCCGAATCTCGGCGGAGTTTCCAACGATGTCGTCTGGAGTCAGTCTGGACCAAAGCGTCCTGCACTGAGTCTGAGGACTTAGGGCGTGCAGGCCGTATGCCGTAAATCTTAAGATAATGCAGGGGCCTTAATAATTAGAGTAGGGTTTTGGGGTATATTATACTATAGTCATAATAAGGAACCTCCAAAATAGTATAGGTAATGATTTAGGCTTCTATTACACGATTGCAGGGAGAACGGCTTGAGCTGAGATCGGGTGGTGTTTCACGAACGTCAAAACCATGTGTCGCACTACTGTATGAACAAGAGAACGGAAGAGGTGGTTATGCGTTGTGTTGTGCCACCCCAGCAGCTTTTGTGAGCGGCCGTTGTCCCAGCAAGGATTTCCATATAGCATAATGGGCCCTTATATTATCAGGAAATTTGCCGGAACTAGACACCCAGCTGAAGGCTCGGTAGGCTAAGTGACAGGAGCCCTACCCAAGTACAGATCAAATGCCTGGCTGTAGTAGAATCCGATGACGGCGTCCGAGGGATTTAAATGCCACCTACCCTCAACCGTAACGCCGTGTAGGGCTCTGAGTTTAGGGTTTACTCAGCACAGCCCCTTCACCTGCCTGAAGTGCTCGAAGTTGGACCCCCTTCCAGCCGTCGCAAACGTCATGGCGCCCGGGGGCAGCATGGCGATGACGCTCGGGGAGGTGCCTTAATCTCGCCGTCCCTCAACCTTACTTAGAGGCCCAGGGGACTTAGTAAGTCGGTTGTAAGTAAGGTTATAAGTAGGGTAACTCCATTTAGGGTACTTATAACTCTACTTATAACCTACTTACTAAGTCCACTGGGCCTCCAAGTATAACCCCAAACACGACAACCCAGGAGAACAGGAGGGGGTGTCCTTTCATCTTGGTCGTTTTCCACAATACTAAACCTGACTTGTCCAGCTTCCTAGGGACTATCGTATACCAAAGGGTTACTCGGTTGCTCAATGTAGGGGCCTTAATCATTAGAACAGGGTTTTGGGGTCCAATATACTGTAATTATTATAAGGAACCCTCAAAATACTGTTGATGATATAAATCCTGCCTTATAGGGCCCAAACTATAGGAATTATGGTATATTCCTTATTATGGGTAGTTCAGGATTTATATCATGAACCGTAGTATTGGTAATTATTGAAGCCCCCGAAATACTCCACAAAGAAAAGCAAAGGTTCGGCTTCAGGGCTGTTGTGAGTTCTCGACGCGGTGCTCCTTTACACTTTAGCGCCAAGGCCTGCGCGCCCTTATTGTTATGATTCTTATTGTTCTTCTTCTTATTATTATTACTAGTCTTCTTACTATTATTCTTCTTCTTATTATTATTATCACGATTATTACTACTATTATTCTGGTTTTTAAAGGGGCCCTCCTGGGAGCACAACCGTAAGGAACAAACAAGCGCCCACCCGTAAAGCGTCCACGGCGTCCCCTTCTGTAGGGTTTAGGGTAGCCCCGATATAGAGAGAACAGGGCCTTGGGGTAAATCTTGGAAAAAAGGAAGCCTGCGGAATTGTCAGGAATGATGGTAGGTAGGTTTAGGGTTTAGGGTTCCCAAATTGGAATAAGGTTCCTGTTAGGGGTTCCTTTGAAGGGCTACCATAAGGGTCTAGAGTTCTTCCGGTCGCTATTGTTTAGGCCTCTGCACTAGACCCAAGCTTGTCCTTGAACTCTACATTCAAACCCCCAAAAAGGGGAGTCCTCTAAGTTAGGGTCCTATTGTAGGTCCCCCCAAATAGTACGGCACCCTGATAAATTCATTTAGAGAACTACCCTTTTTGGATTCTCAGGGGTGCAACAGCCTGAGCGACTCCTCAGGCACCCCAAATCGTATGCCTTAAAGCCTGGATGAAAGGATTTGGGTGATACATTACAGTCTACAGGAAGGAAGATCAACAATAACCTTTATCATGCTCGAAGCTTCGATACTGACTACATCCCCACACCCTAGGAGTCCTAAACGTCGGCAAAGGCACACGTGTCGGAGCAGATAATTTGCCAAGCCGGGCTCAACATGCCTTCCTGTTGAAGGAGAGGCCCAATGTCAACCTTTTCTTACGGCTTGGGGTTTAGGGTTTAATCAACCTTCTCTGAGCTTAGTCTGCGTAAGGCTTGGGAGGTAGTTTAGGAGTTTCGGGTGCTCTGGAGGTAACAACTTCTACATCATTGGAAGGACTAGGCAGTCTTGAAGCCAGTTTCAAGAAATAGGCAGAGCCTGTGCGTCCTGCTTTTCAAGCTACGTCTCAAATCTTCCAAAACCAGTTTCGAGAACACCCTAAGCCCTAATATCTTGCAAAGCTTTTGAACTATGTACTTCATTGTGAAGAGAAGAACTCGGACACAAGCCCATGCTCCAGGACGAAGGGTTTTGGGTTTAGGGAGTAAGCTCTATCTCCTCTTTTTAACACTTTTCAAGAACGTCCTTCGCAAAAACTGCTGAATCTGAGCGACTCTTCCTTAAGGTTAGACTTCAATAAGTCTTTGGATAAAGTCCCAAGCCCTAGACAATGGGGTCAAATTTCATACACCTTCTTCAAGACTATCTGGAGAATAGCTAAACCTAAGGCTGAGGTTACATTTTATACGGACATACGTTGTAAGTCACCGAAGCTTCAACCACACCACGTTGTATATTTGCACTTCCCAGGTTTTCGACTCTTCTTGCTTGATAACCCTAAACCCTAGTTGTTATATATATATATATATACACTTCGGGAAGTTTGCGAGCCTTCTCCCGTAAACCCTAAACATCGTCAAGAACTGTAGGGGCCTTAATAACTAGAAGAGGGTTTTGCAGGGCTCCTTAGTATAATTATAGTTTAATCTACCCCAAACCCCTGTTAAAATTATTAAGGCCCCTACACCCTAAACCCTTATAGTAGCCCTTATAGAACCCTTTTAAGGAACCCTTCAAAGGAACCCTATGAAACCCTCTTCTAATTATTAAAGCCCCTATATAACATCCAAGCAACGATCATCCTGCTCTGCATGGCCAAGACCAAGAACTTCGAGCCGATCTGACGGACTGCCATCAGAGATTGCATGGCCTGGGTTCTTTTAGGGTTTAGGGTTTAGGGTTTAGGTCAATTCTGGAACCCAACTTAAATCCTTGGCTGTTATTATAAAGTTTGCTTCAGCTTTGTTAAGTATGGAACGCAACTTAAATCCCTGTTTATTATCATAAAATTAGCAAAAGTTCTGGATTCAGGATCCCAAGTTAAACGATATTTAGCCGCGACATATAATCGACACAGTGCTGTGCGTATACTGACAGCTCTTCTCTAACAGGAGCCCAGCAGCCTCTTCCTTGCTAAACCTTACTTCGCCAATAAGCCAGGGAAATAAAAGGTTAAACTTTCAGACTACTACTAAATTATAAGAACCCAAAAAGTTTAAAGGTTGGGTATTGGAGAACTAAGAAACTCTTGAGGCATGAACCGTATTGCCCGACCCTGCAGGCGATCAGGCTCTTGGTCCTCTCTCGCCAGGTCTAAGATCTCATTGAAGAGGCCTTGCCCATAGCCTTGGTTGTCCGGCTTAGGGTTTATTTAGGGTTTAGGATTTACGGTTTAGGGTTTAGGGTTTTGGTTGTCCGGCTTCCGCAGGGAGCTGAAGGGTACGTACCTTGAAGGGTTGTATTGTACCGAGTTATATTACCCCAACACTGTTGAAGGTTACGTAATCGCGTGCTGAGTGGCTCTCTGAGGAATATAAGCAGGCGGCCAGAGGGACATCAAATTTCAAGATCCACTGCCACAGTGCCAGCGCCAGAAGGCTGTCCGGCGGCACAGTGCGCAAGAAGAACGGATAGGCCTCTTTGTTTGAGAGACTTGGGCTGGTAGAGGCCATGGAGATTTGTGGCACCTTCTGCACCGCAGCCAAGGTCGCAATAGGGCCGCTAACAGAGGATGCGCGGGCACCCACGAGACCGACCACTGGTATCGCCCCGCCTCGACCTAGCATCATGTCCTCGAAACGAAATTTGGTCCAATGTTTCGGGGTTCAATTTTGCAGGTGTCCAGAGCTTATAGGAACACCAAAACACGGGTATGCCATGTAAAAAATATTAAGCATTCCCATAGAGTTCAAGTTATAGTGGCTTAATTGAGGGGCTTGAAGACTCTGGGAACTAACCATCAAGGCCCTTCTTGTGCAACGGTGCTGTTGGACAGAATTCAGCCAAAACTACAGATCTTGCAGGGCAAGATCTCGTCCATCAGCTGTGTTCCGAGTTGTTCGCGCCTCTACCCTTTCAGCAGTGGCAACGACGTAATACAGGGATCTCTTTGATTAGAATGGGGTTTGTCGTAGGGACTACAGGAACATTACTGCTCATCGTTCAAAGAGCTATATTCAGCCAGGTGTCAAGTGCAGTGGCGAGACCCACGTCGGGTTGGAGGTGCGTCGTTCCAATGCGCAGGGTGATGCTCGCCTACGAGCAAGGGGTCAAGGATTTGGGCTCGCCGAGATCCCAATACCGCTTAATTAAGGAATACTGCGCCGGTCCGAAAGTTCGTCGCACTCTA